CGACAAATAATACTAACAGAACAATACGCCAATGACCAAACATTAAAAAGTTTTGAAAGGTTTAAAGAAATCTGAGAAACGATGCCCTAAATATTTTGAACTTCGGGACAGATATGGGGAATAGAATGTACATTTTATAACTCTAAGATCATACCATGTTTTCGTTCAGGATGTGAACTTTTCCGTATATCCTCGTAAGTAAAAGGGAACATCAAATAAGTTATAATATTGTAATGACAATAATACCCAGGTGTAGGCTTTAAGATTCGCGTATAGTGTCCTTTTATAGTCACTGTAAACAGAAATAGATCTCTTAAAGAGGAGAGTAACAAAACAAGAAGAGACCACTCTTGATTATTCATAGAAAATACATTGCTGTTCGATAAAAGTGACTCACCTGAGTTTTTTTACTAAAAATATTTTTTATCTATTGTTTTGGGGGTTAAAATAATTTTTAATCTTACTAATATAAAGACCCCTTCCCGACCACCTAGGAAAAAAGTTTATTCACCCTAAAGTATTCTTTTGATAATTATAAATTTGGATAAGAGATTCAGGAAAAAAAACTCTGTGCAAAAAAAGTGACTCAGATATCGCATTCTAATGATTAAACTGGTAAATTTAAAGAACTTTTGACAAAATATTGAAAACTATTTTACAACACACTCAGAACAATATTTTAGAGAATTCTAGAACAGCTTAAATTAAATCCAGAATATTCCAGAAAGCCTCATACAGTATAAAAACAGCTTGAAATAGCCACTCAGAACCACTTAAGGCATCTATTATTGCCATCTCAAAAGCAGGCAAATCTACAAGAGAAATTGCAGAAATTGTTATAACCTCGCAATCAACTCTCTCTCGAGTGCTTAGGGCACATAATGATGCCACTCCTGCTCCAAGGAAGGAAACAAGGGGACGAAAGAAAAAGATTGATGATAGAACTGGCAGGGTAATCAAGAGAGAAGTTGCGAAGAATAGAACTACAACTAGCCAAGAAATTGCAGCCAGTCTAAGGGAAGAGCAAGGTGTTAGTCTTGCCAATTCAACATTCCGTCAGAACAAGGCTACAAATCTTGTACACGAAGGTTTAAGCCGCTAATAAGCAAAGCCAACAAAGCCAAGAGACTTGAATGGGCTCACTATTACAAAGATTTCACCGTAGAAGACTGGAAGAATGTTCTCTTCTCCGATGAAACGAAAGTTGAGTTAAATACAAAGGATAAGGTGAGTCACTTTTATCGAACAGCACTGTATATGCTGGTAATGTGTGCCAGTTTCATTGGTTAATTACTAATTTGAAACGTAATAATCACTGTAAAGGAGAAAAAATGTAGTGGCTTCATTTTGAACACTAGGATATTTCTAAGATAATATAGTCATTGTATCTTTTAAGAGAATTAATTCTTCTTTCCCATTCATGAGAATCACTTTTTCGAACCGAAGAGTATCATTTCTTCTTCAGTATTTAAAACATTTATGTTTAGTAAGTCTTTTGTCAACTTTAAAATAATCCATTTTATTTTATTTTTGATTCCAGGAAGAATTATTTTTTGAAATTGTGAAAAGAGCCCAGAACGGAGATGCTACAATTAATTCTCATCCGATATACCAGCCAGTAGCACACCCCAATGAAATTATCGATATATTTGATGCGATCTCCTATAAAAAGGTAAGTCACTGCCACTGGAAAGGCAGCGTCAGCTACAAATGACTTCTGATTGTTGGATAATTATGACACCTTAGGAAAATTTTGTTTTTAACACTTTCAACACATTCTGGAAAAGACCAAAGAAATACAGACACAACTAATCATAACGAATTGTTTAAAAAAAGATAGGAAAAGTCAAAGTCAAAGTCAAAACATTACTAATTTAATTTCAATGAATATGGAAACGAATTCGGCTAAATTTGAGTCCTCATATGTTCATATTTTCATGTATTTATAAGTGCGTCACTTCTACTCTATACAACCTTATAATCTGTATAAGCTTTAGAAGTTTTGAATGGTCACTGGTTTTCAAGGCGCGATTTGAACCCAAATGATTTCAATTCCACTAGCTCCATTCGAAACAGTTTTCGGTTTGCTATCTTAGTCATAAGCAGAGATAGTAAGAAAAAGTTGACTTTAATTGTCTTTCAATTAAAAATGAAATCACATTAGCCGACATCAATCAGACTAAGAAACCGTTACATCGGTTTTATTTTCTGATGTTCGATCTGCCAAGATGCCTCATGCCGCCTTTATTCATCTATTTATTCAACTAATTAGGACTTTACTATACACAAACTTTTTTATGTTATTTTTGTTTTGTTTTTTTACAAAAATTTAATTTTCTATGAAAAAAATAAATAAAATCCATATTCTTGTTTGGGATCAAATAATAGAAATTGTCAGTGTAAGCTTAAAAAATTCCTTCTCTCTTCGCAATCTTACTCGTTCGCTACTTTAAAGAATTCTTTCTTTCTTCACAGGCAGCTTCCGTCATCCGAATGATGGAATTCTTCCTTGGTGAAGAAATCCTTAAAATTGGACTTACAGTAAGTTGTCACATTTTTTACAGTTCACTAGCAACAGAAAAATTCGCCTACGACGATATCATAGAGCAACAGAAAAGTTTGAGATTGAAATCTAAAAGGAATAAAGTGTATGTCTATTGTCTGATTAAATAAGCTTCTCTTTAAAAATAAAAAAAACAGATTGACTTATTATTTATAAAACTTTGCGCAGAAGTTCTGAAAACTAACATAGTTTGTCTGGTATGTTGTTTTAAGTGGAAGTGTCAGAGAAACTAATTTTTGTCTATTTCAAAATGACAGCTTCGGGAAAAACAAGAAATTAAATAAAATACCCTTTAATTTTAAACTTTAAAATCTGTAAATTAGAGAAAATAAATATGAACCTTGAAATGTGGAAAAATCGAAACATGGTAATGACATCAATTAAAAGCATGAATTGTAATAATAACATCGAAAAAAAAAATCAGTATTTTTAAAATATATATATAAATGCACTATTCCGTTTTTGCTTCTTTTCAAAGAAGGTTGAATCAGAATGTTTGTGCTTTTCTGGTATTATCTGATGTTTGTTTGGCTATATTTGCATTCTACAGGATTATCTCAATAAACTCTCTTACGGTACAGCAGACCACGATGATCTGTGGGATGCCCTTTCCAAGGTAAGTACCCGTTATTGCCACTTGATCTCTCTCTCTCTCAGGATCACACATACACACGCACATAAAAATGATTTTTTTCTTCTACTTTCTCTCTTATTTCTACTTTTATATGTGCGTGCATTTGTATATGAAGATAGACATAAGTAAAGAGGACGAAGCAAAAATTAAGATGATTTTAAAAAAAAAGAAGACAAATTGAGGCAAAAGTGGAAGCTCAAGATTCTTCTAGAATGTAAATATTTTATTTACATTTCTTGATTTTGTTCTCTTTTGTTTTATTTTTGCAGGCGTGGGGTGGCCGTGATGTCAAAAAAATAATGGATACATGGACCCTCCAAATGAACTACCCACTTCTGAATGTCACATGGTCTGGTACACGGATCAACGTCACCCAACAGCGCTACCTGACAGACGAAAGCGAAGTCGAACAAGAAAAACAAGTATCGCCATTTGGGTGAGTTAGTTTTCTCGTTAATTTTATTTTACAGTAAGTTTTAGCATTTACAAGGCCCGAGAGCCACTTAAGGTAGACGGTTACATTAGGGGGCAATTTGTGGGAATAGCAGTGAAAGATAACGGTTAACCTTAACCATTATCAAGTTAAGTGTGTAGTGATCAGGAAACATCCTCTTGGTAGTCGGTTCCACAGGCAAATGGTTTGCAGGAAGAAGCTGTTCGAGTGGAACTTACTTCTCACTAATGGAATACGGGGGGGGTTACTACTATGTAAGTGACATGGCGTGTCCTTGCCGTGAAGGTTTGAATTGGTGGGAACACGGATTGTAGTTTGTCCGAGCACTTTCGTAGCGATAGAGCAGCGAGAGGCTTGCCAAATCGCGCCTGTAGGAGAGAGGTTGGAGGGTGGAGAATAATTCGTCGCCCGCAAGGACTCGGAGACGCTTTTGGACGCTATCAACGCTAGAGAGTGAGGTATGGGCAGCTCCCACCCAAATATGACAACTATTTTTGGCCTAATCTAGCTCTTGTAAAGGTAGGGGATAAAAGGAGGAGTTATGTAGCAAAGCAAACCAATCAGGTAGATCAAGTAAATGAAAAATAGTAGAACAGTTTCGCTCAATTGTAAGCAGAGAATGAAGATCGAAAAGTAGGAGATTTAATCTTAAACTCATAACTAAGGAACTAGCCTAAAATTTCCTTCTCTAGGCAATCGTAATAATCATCAAAGTTGCTGAAAAGTTCTCGACCCGACCAAAAAGGGATTTAAAAGAGATCGAACCCAGAACCTTTCAACAATCCTCGTAGAATTTTAAAGCGCCTTTCAATAATTTAATATCTTCTTTGAAGTTTTAATTCTAGTTTTAATTGCAATAAATCAGCAAAATTGTAGTCGACAAAAAAAGTCAAAATACTTTATTTATATAAAATATTATCAAACTGTTTTCAATTAAATATTTTTAAATTCCCGAATTAGCACGAATATTATGCCATAAAATTGATTAAACATTTTACAAAAAAAATTAATTATTCCGACGAAATTTAATGATTACTGAATTATGACAAATAGTCACTTAAAATATTTTGAGAAATCCATATTTACAGCTGGCGTCTTGACCAATCAATTTTTAATTTTGTAAACTAAAATGTTGCATCCGGTCTAATATTTAACGTAAAGGAAGAGAATTGGTCGTCAATATCGAGTCATTAACTAAGCTAGTTACATTTATTGAACCAATCATTCTTAATTGTTTATTTTCAACATAATACTACATTTATTCTTGAATTTTTCATACTACAATCACCAAAAGATCACATTCTCTTTATAAACATTCTAATTAAGCTCATATTTACAAGTATATAGGATGGATGTTAAAAAATACAGTTGATTCATATAATACAATTTAAATATTATCCCAAGTTGATTTAAATTAAATATACTTATAAAAAATGTGTTAGTATTTGTCGCCAAGTTAATCTAATATGATATAATCGTAAGTTAGCCAATCGAAAATGATGTGGGAAAACGCAAAAAAAAAAGAGAAAAAAGTGAATATTTCCACATGACCAAAGGTTTTTTTTAGTTTTGGTTGAGGATTGAGTAACAAAAAGGAGAGAAACTAAAAATTAAAGTAAAATCTAATTAGCATGCGTCCCAAGTTCAGGTAAATAGACTAAATAAAAATAAAATCCTTTACTACTTTAACTTGGACTAAGCTGATAAGTCATTCTCAGAAGCATAAAAACCTTTTCTTAATCATTTACCTTAATATGTCCCTGTCACATGACACACTCGCGCAACAATCACCAACTTTTCATGAAAGTCCGCCAAAGACCGCATCTTCTTCTCTATCTTGATCTTTGTTGATGCTTCAAAAAGGTATGGTAGGAAAAAAGACAACCACCGCGAAATTCCTTCTGTCGCATCATTTATACAACCATTGGCAACATGCTGAATAAACACAGAAATATCGACCAATGAAACCATATTTCTGCAAAAGAAATGAATTCTAAGGCAAAAAACAAGGATAATTTGCTTTTTAAGCCCCGCGCTAAATATGCAATAAAAATTTGCCGAATAGTTATATTTAGGTGTAAATTTATATGCTTAATTCGAAAATAACAAAGAAATTTTGATAAAATCTACCGTTTTGGAGTTATCGACAATAGAAGTTCGGACTCATAAGCGTCGCGGCAGCCATTACTGGTGTTGTTTGCATATATTTGCTGCGGAACTGTCTTGATTATTGCGCATGCAATGAGTCCTCAGTTGCGCAGTAATTGAATCAAGTAAGAACCGTAAAAAGGCCGTTAACAATGTAATCTTCCGCGCAAATCTAATCAGCAGCGAATGTATATAAACAACGCCAGTAATGGCTGCCATGCCGTAACGCGAATGAGTCCGAAATTTTATTGTCGATAACTCCAAAACGGTAGATTTTATCAAAATTTATTTTCGAATTAAGCATATACATTTACACCTAAATATAACTATTCGGCAAATTTTTATTTTTAGCGCGGGGCTTAAAAGGCAAAATACCTGAAAACAATCTTTTACGGACCATGTAACAACCTTATGCAATAGCAATACATCCGCGCAGTGAAATAAGGCATACACCCTCACCTTTTCCATAGTAGTGCAATTAGTGAGTTCTATTGTATCACTAAAGCCAGCATGAAACACTTTCTGTTGTTTCAAAGATCACCTTGCATCACCAACCAGGTAAAAGGGACTTCGTTATTATTGAAACATTTCAGCTCGGGTACACAAAAGAGCGACAGAGGGCATCCACGATAGAAGGAACATCCGAGTGTATCTTACTCAAAGCCGGAAAGGCTATTTTAATATTTCCTGAATTTTCAGTTATCTTGTGCGCATATCCGGTTCACGGGTCATGGCATTCGACATCCATTGAACGCCTTTGGGATAAATGGAGACAGTAGATCAACCGATACAACATGGCAGCACTGTGACCTCAAAGAAGTGTAAAAGGAGCTCTCTTTAACTCCCCAGTACCAAACTAGCTGAACGTAATTATCAGTAAAGGATGAAGAGGTTTGAAACGCATAGGTCGGTTCTTTAAAGAAAGATTCTTCTTCAACTCGAACTAGGCGTCGAGTTGCTAAAAGAGGAATAGAAACAAAATATTCACTCATTCTGATTACGAATAAATCATAGAATTATCCTCTATTTATTTATATTTAGAGAAAAATGCATGTGTTTTTTTTATGCAGAACGGAAAGCGCAGAAAATTACTGAATTACTCTGTACATCTAAGAAACTTAATTTCTCTTCATTTTTGAAAATAAACAATACTGTAATCCATTTTTAATTTTAAACTATACTAAGAGGAAACATTCGATATTTAATATATATTTTTAAAATATTTACTACGTAGTTTTTATGTGTCTACAAACACTTACATACGTGGGAATGTTTTCCAAAATCTCAACAAACGAACAAGCAACAGATATTTTTCTTTTTTGAAAGACTTGGTAGGTTGGAAAATATTTCAACCCTGTCCTCTCCTCTCCTCTCGTATAACTAACACTTCTTCATAAATATATTAATTGATTTCATCTTTTGAAGAAGTCATTTGTTCTTTCTTTGCTTACATAATGGGTAAATGAACCTTCACTTAATACTTACTTTTGATTTTACATCTTTCCAATAACTAAAATTCTTAATCTCAACGTTTGTCTACTGTAAAGATGGGCGTGAAAGAATCTTTCTAGCAAAAAAGGTGTATAGTGAAAAGCAAATTTTTCATATTACTTACTACACAATTATAAGAAGAAAGACGAAAATAGGCAATAAGCAAAAACAAAGGTTATAACATTGAATATGTGTTCTAACAAAAGCTTTTTTAAGTTTATCCATTTTCTTTTTAGTCTTACGTATTTTAAAAAGGGTTTGTGCAAAGGATTAACGTAATATTCTAACATAATAAATACTTACCAAAAATCTATATTATAACAGAAAAGCTGGAAGGTATGAATCCTCAATCCGTCACACACTGTCTGCGTATGCCTTTGCATGTGCGTATGGAATGTATATGCCTGTATTATGCGTGAGTGATTTTCATGTGTTTGTACCATACACACACACACACACACACACACACACACACACACATACGCAAAAAATTTGACTGGGGGATAATAAATTCCCTTCCCATTCAGTCCGAACAATCCTTACCCTGGGCTGAGCAATAAAATCATAACTTTGAAGACAAAAAAAATGATCTTTTAAACCCTAAAAAATCAAATGATTATAAGTTTTATTGAACTTTTCGGAAATTATTCGGTAATGGAATATTTTATAGAAATATTTTTGGGTGAGTAGTGGATAGCGACTCGGATTGGAGAGCCAAGTTCGAATTCTAGTCGAATCCATTATATTCACTTACGTGCTGATACCCTTGGGAAAAGTATGAATCCTCTTCTTCTCCCCCAGCTATGAGTAAATAGCAGGACAGACCAGGTTCTATAGCCTTGGATGGCAACTGGTCTACCGCAGAAAGAAATGGCAATCGACTGCGGGAAAAAATCTGCCTCACCAGTCATGTATCGAAAGCTAAATGATCGCCTAAGCGTGTATCACGCATGGCACATAACTGACTAAATGAATTGGATTAAATTAAATTATATATACGCACATGCAGACATACATATGCACATATACTCAATCTGAATAAAATTGAAATGGTCATCTTTGTTGAGAATGATTATTTCCGTTTCCGGCTGGCAATGACTTCCGGTTAACAGGCAAAGACTATAAACCAAAATGCGCGACTTTTTGTAGTCATTTTTATGACTCCTGCACTTGTGAATATATTTTCTCATAAACGTAAATCGACAAAAAATTTAGATTTTAAATTTGATCATATTGCCATCAGCAAAACTACAAGTACCAAACTAGTAAATATTATATTGACTAAAGTACTATGCGTGATTACTTCCTGCCTCATTACAGGTACAAATGGGAGATACCTTTTACATTCACCACCAGTGATGAAGTCAATTTTAACAAAACTAACAAAGATATATTTTGGATTCACAAGAATCAATCATCAGGTAAGTTTTTAACTAAAGTTGAAAAAAAAAACCATGACTTTACTTTCACTTATTCAGTTATTTAGTTAATTAATCTTTTTATTTGCCATTTTGTCTAAGACAAATTTATATTCCAAAAGAAGAGTCGTACCATTCCTTCCTTACAGCTCAACTCAATTCACACTTTGTGGATCCCCTCCTGCAACCTAATGTCCCAAGTATTGCCTAAAAAAATTTCTAAATCGAAAGTTATCATAAATTCTCATTAGAAATGCTTAACTGATGCTCAAGTATTTTATTTTCTGGTCGTTTTTATTCGGTGGATAACATCAGCATCTGATTAACATTTAAGTTTTTCTTTTCTTTTATACAGGCATCCCTCGATTAATGCGCATTTGATTAATGCCTTTTCGATTAGTGCGCTAAAATTTTTATATACCAAAATTCGATGAGTGCATACAAAATTAGTGCAGTAAAACAATCTTCAGTTTAACCATAATAATTGAAAAAAAATTTTATAGTTACCGATGTACTAATCGAGGGATTCTTGTACAAGCAATTGTCCATTTATAAACAATAGAATATATTTTTTTAATTTGTAAAGTCGAATTCCTGACACCTTGGCCTTTTTCAGCTGGAAAATATTATCAAGTGGATAGAATGTTTATCGTTGTCATTGTTGTTGTTATATATGGAAATGAGTTTTTTTCGAAATTTCGACAGACAAGTTTAAGGAATGCTTTTCAGTGATATCAAAACTGGAAAATATATAAATTTATTTCACGAGTTGAAGTTCATGGAAAAACGATAAAAAAGTTTTCAAATAAAGGTCATTATTTGAAAACTGTTTTATCCCAGATCTTTGAAAAAATTGGTCATCTGGATTTACATTGTCACTACCCGTTGCCTCTATATTGTTTTCTAATTGACTTTCTATCGACTGTGCCTTTTCTTTTACAGCCTCATTTACATCGTTCGTGTTGCCAACGAACCATGCTACTAATAGCTGGGTCATCGCCAACATCCAACATATTGGATTTTTCCGTGTCACTTACGACTACAAAAATTGGATTGCCATCATTGAACAATTGAAAAAGGACCATACGGTGAAATGTGATTCTGTGCCTTTTGTAAAGCGAAATAGAGAATTAACAGAATTGGTTTCAGTTTCAATTTAAATCAAATTTTAAATTTCTTTATAAGAGAAACTTTTTTATAATGCAAAAGTTTATTTTGGTATAGAGCATCTTAATTTATAATTAAAACCTACTTTCCATTTCTGCATTGTTATTTGTCAGTTTGTACGAACGAAAAAATAAAATTACATTATTTAATTTTATTTTTCGTCTTCATTCAAGACATAGGATATTTTATCATGTTCGGTCATTTTGTTTGATCATGGAAGTGAAAAATGTTTTGATCAGTACAATTCAGTAATTCTATGAGATTTCTTGGTATGGTAATTAAAGAAAATAAAAAAAAGCAGACAAGAGTCTTTTCTTTTATTTCAAGAACAGTTAAATGAAAATCTTGCTCCAAATAGTTACAAAGATATTCACTTTCACTTGAAAATAGTTTCATGAAAGTTTCAAATCAATTGAAGAAGTTAAGGAAACATGACATGTAAATTATATGGAATCTAAATAAAAAAAGAAAATGGCTGCAGTTATGTCGACAATATTGATTATTAATGTCAATAATTAAATTTTTAATTATTTACTCCTGACAATTGATCGCCTATTTGAAGTTAAAATATCCCGAAAGGAAAGAATTAGCCATAAAATAAAATATCCTGAAATGTAAGAACTAGCTATAATGTATCATTTTTACGTAATACTTTAATAAATTTCCAAAATGTCTTCTTAATATGTCTTCCTTTGTTGCAGGTGATTCCCATTTCTAATCGTATCCAAATCTTTGTCGATGCCTGGACATTAGCTAAGTATGTATTAGAAATGGTTATTTTTATCTGTCTTGTTTATATTGAGAATATAAGAAAAGAATCTGTTTATATTGTGTATTAATTTAATATCAGAAAAAACTAATCATATGCATTTAATTCAAGGTGTCTGTGTTGAGTGTTCGTAAATCGATTAGGATTGTACATTCCTGCTCGAATTTGATAAAATTCTTGTGCTTTTGAAAACAATTTGAATGTCTTAAACAGACAAATTTCAGCACATCATTATGTCCCTGCGTTTTACTTCATTGTAAAATGACAATGCTCGCCATATTGTGCATAATGATGATATTAAATATTTTTATTTTCATTCTAAGAAATACGTTTTAAATTGCAGGGAACCTCTATGACCTAATGAAGTTTTGGTACGGTATTCTGTTCTGGTATTAATGCCACCAGAATTCATTGAGCACTAAATTTTTTTGGCGTATTCTCTATTCCACGGTATAAAATCAAACAAGTGATATTGCATCTTGCACATTGAATAAAATTAAGTCTGAAATTCAAAAGAACATTTTAGAAGATTCTTTGCTTAATCACATTGTCCTTAGTAACCAAGAATGGTACAAGAAATAACAAATTCCAGGCTAACATTCTTGCTGAAAACATAATAATGATTCTGTGATGTCAGAAGTTGTAATTTCCAAAATCGTTGTTGCATTTCTTTGATTTCATTTTTTTAAAATCCTATTTAAAATTTATTTTACTTTTATAAATCATGATTCAGTTATAAATATTTGAATCTGGAGATTTAAAATACGACATTTCTGCCTTAGGTCTGGCCACCTAGATCAGATCATTGCTCTGAGAACACTGGAATATCTTCACAAAGAACGGGATTATTCAGTGTGGTCTGAGGCATATATGGAAATGAGTCAGGTGATAAATATGTTGATGCGAACAGCCAAATTTGGAAAACTTCAGGTATGTGCTTGTTTTATGCTAAGGCTACTATTATTATTATTATCATTATCATAATTGTTATTATTATTGTTATTATTAATATCGTTTTAAGGAATCGGAGAGCCAGTTCAAATTCCAATCAAATCCATTACATTCACTTTCGTGCTAATACCCTTGGGAAAGATATAAACCCTCTTCTTCTCCCCCAGCTATGGGTAAATAGCAGGACAGACCGGGTTCTATAGCCTTGGATGACAACTGGTCTACTGCAGAAAGAAATGGCAACCTACTGCGGGGAAAAATCTGCCTCGTCAGTCATGTATCGAAAGATACATGATCGTCTTAGCGTGTATCACGAATGATACCTAACTGACTGACTGTTATTAGTGTTATTATTAATTCCCACTATTGACTTATGCAGATAACTTATAGGCCCCACCCTAAAATGTCCGTACTTTGCTTATTAATAGACGACCATTTGCTTGGGGTTTGTTTATTTTATTTTTCAGAAACTTCCCATATAACACAAAATGTTTTAAAAAATGTGAAGTTCTGGAAGGCAGTTTTTGTCGCACATTTTTTGTAGGCGTGAAAGAAAGAGAGGGAGGGAGAGAGAGAGAAAAGGAGAGAGAGAGAGAAGGAGAGAAATTCGTACGATAAAATGTATTTTATTATTAAAGCCAAGTATTCTAATAAATGTTGAAATTATCGTATTTCTCATAGAGTTATTGTCAATTGTTGTCGTTCTGCTCAGACACGAGACAATAAATCTCTTCAACATGATACTTTGTTCTGATGTTGTGAATTAACATGAATCATTATTTGATGGCTTCCATTGAATTATTACTCGAGAGTCGTGATATTCTATCCTAAACACAGAATTAGTGGCATTGCCATAACTTTTTCTGGAAATAGAAAACCATATAAAAATGACTCCATTCTTTGCAATCAGTTTTGTATTTGCAAACATTACAATGAATCACATATACACATTATTTCTTTTTGTCATTAGAGTTTTTTACGCCATTTGGTATTAAATCTGTACAAAGAATTTGGATGGAACACCACAACTTCTAATGACAATGGAAGGTAAGTTATCATTCAACAATTTCTTTGAGCTTATTTCTTTAATTCTTCTTATTGTGATAATAGAATATGTTTGTAATCGATCTCATTAATTATGTTTGTGGAGTTTAGTTCCACAACAATTACAAATAGACATTTCGTATCTGGAGATCAATGTTAAATAAAGATAAGATATTTCTACCTGTCATGAAATTATCTTGTATACAAACAACAGTTATTAAATCTGAACAACAAGAAAAAATTAAAGCCAAAATTAAATTAGTGTTTATGTCATTTTCGGTCAAATTTTGGACAATTTGCAGCACTGAATTCAACAAATCTTCCAAAGATAGATCTTCCACATTTTGGTGAAAGATTTATGTTTGGAAAATTTAAAATTAAGAACTATTGAAATTCTAATGTCCGACTAAATATACCAGGTTTTCATGAAGTACTTGAATTAATGAAGTAATCTAAAATTTAGTGTTATTAAAGATTCTAAACGAGGTTAGCTTTAAATCATCTACTGGATATATTTATACAAAATCATAACAGTTCTGCCCTTTCGTATTGTAGATGCAAATGTTTATATTTCAGATTTTACAAGTATAATTAGTATGCATATGCGTAAAATGTCTTTGTTCGGTTTCAAAATCTCTTGGAACATATTGTAATATCAGTTTATGGTAACATGCCAATGTAAAATTATATTGAAAAAATTAATTCAGAAATTGAAAAATAGTTAATAATTTTAACATGGTCAGTCAAATTATAGAATTAAAAAAAGATCACTTGGATCTCTTCTCGCGTATTTCCGTCTTGTCAGTTGTTGACGTTTCCAATTTTTCGTTAACTCAATATCATTCTTTTCGTTGCCTTAATATCATTCTTTTCGTTACCTCAATATCATTCTTTTTGTTGCCTTAATATCATTCTGTTCGTTACCTCAATATCATTCTTTTCGTTGCCTTAATATCATTCTTTTCGTTGCCTTAATATCATACTTTTCGTTGCCTTAATATCGTTCTTTTCGTTGCCTTAATATCATTCTTTTCGTTGCCTTAATATCATACTTTTCGTTGCCTTAATATCGTTCTTTTCATTGCCTTAATATCATTCTTTTCGTTGCCTTAATATCATACTTTTCATTGCCTTAATATCGTTCTTTTCGTTGCCGTAATATCGTTCTTTTCGTTGCCTTAATATCGTTCTTTTCGTTACCTCAATATCATTCTTTTCGTTGCCTTAATATCATTCTGTTCGTTACCTTAATATCATTCTTTTCATTGCCTTAATATCATTCTTTTCATTGCCTTAATATCGTTCTTTTCGTTGCCTTAATATCGTTCTTTTCGTTACCTCAATATCGTTCTTTTCGTTACCTCAATATCATTCTTTTCGTTGCCTTAATATCATTCTGTTCGTTACCTTAATATCATTCTTTTCATTGCCTTAATATCGTTCTTTTTGTTACCTCAATATCATTCTTTTCTCCGTTTCAATCCTTTGCCAGTGGCGCCTTTAAAACCGATCCTCTTTTTGTCTTCCTTTCTTATTACAACATAATCCATCACAATCCGAAATCCTTTGCTATAATTTTGAAAACTGAACCCGTCCAGATGATTTAAGAGAAAAAGAGATTATTAGATGCTTTTGTGTTTCTGTAATCTGAAAACCCGCTGAGTGATAATTTACAGTTCTGATAAATGCAAAACAGTCGTATTCCAAAGTTGTATTGTCCAACAATTGACACATGCAATCATTTCTTTCCAGCTTTTTACGACGCTTTGTGATAAGAGTGGCTTGTGAGAAAGAGTTGAAGGAATGTGAAGACATTGCTATGATCCATTTTAACAAGTGGGTAAGAGATGGCGATCCAGGGTAAGTTCTGATCTTTTTTTCTTTTTATGTGCCATGTTCTTTCAGTACATAGGCGATCATGGCTCTCCACCTCCCTCTATCCCTTGCAGCTCTCAGCAGGGTCCTTCCCTCTGCTTCTTCCCCGAGACCACGTTCCGTCACCCACCTACTCAATCTCATCAGGTATGCCACGCGCTGCTTTCCCTTGTCTCTCTTTGACCCGTGAGTATCAGATTCTCCAGGCCCTCTTTCCTCGTTATGTGTCCCAGAAACTTCAGCTGCCTCTTTCTTTTGTTAAGTATAAACCTTCTCCTTGTTTGTAACTTATCTAAGACCTCATCGTCGCTCACATGCTCGATTCATGATATCCTTAGCATCCTTCTGTAGAACCACATCTCCGTCGCCTCGAGTCTCTTCCTCATACTTGAGGAAATCGTCCAACTTTCGCTGCTGTAAAGAAGAACAGACGTCACGTGACAGTTCAGTATTCTTTTCTTGCAATGTCTCGCAATACTCTGCTCAGCTTTTGGAATGTGTCCTTGGCCATCCAAATACATCTACGGATCTCAGTGTCGCACTTACCATCTTCTGTCAAGACGCTTTCCTGATATTTAAACTTCTGCGTCTGCTTGATTCTAGTGTTCCCGACTTGCAAATCGCATTTCGGACTCTTCCTTTTACTGATGAACATGCATTCTGGCTTCTTGTAGTTTATGCTTAGACCAGTAGTTTAATTGCAAAAATCATAAAACGACAAAAATCAAATACCAGTCCTTAATTGACTTATTGACTGATTTGGATGCTTTTATTAATTTTATTATGTTTCGTTCATATAAGAATCAGGAAAAATCTGATTAGCTTTTTTCTTCATGTGACCAGCATTTGTATATTGAATAGATGATAATAATGTTGTTTCATAAAACTTTCATCTCACGGACCTTTTCAAGTTATGATGAGACATTATGATTATGACATTTTTTTCTTCCAATTCTAACAATTTCCAGAGAGTAAAAACATTCGCTTTTTACGATCGTTAAAAATACAATCAGTTCGTTAGGCTTTTGAAGATTTTTTTCTAATCAGTCTCTGACATTTTTTGAGAAAGTTTGTTTCAACATACATACAAATAAAAATGACTGTAAATCTATATTATAAAAGAAGAGTGTATTCTCTGTCCGTCACACACGGCCTGAGCGTGGTTTTGATTTTTTTATTTAAATCTTTAAAATATAATTTTATTTTTTACTGCATAATTTAGTAAAATGTTATAATTATCTGATTTTTTGGGGGGTTAAAAGTTAATAGGTTTTTCGCCCAAAAATTAGTCGTGTAGTTTTTAGGGTTTTTTTTTGGGGGGGGGCTTGTTTTGCTTGGTCTGTTTTTTTTTTTTTTTTTTTTGTTTCTTTTTTAATTTAATCTAACTAAATTAACTTTATCAGAAAAGGCATTTTTTCACACAGGAGAAATATTTTTGACGTGTTGACTGATTTATTGACAGCTTTATGGAAATTTAAGTAAAGAGGATATAATTGAATAAAATTACTTAACGAATACAACGTGAACGTCTTTTTTATATAATTTTTTAAATAACCAATAATCCTAAAAATGTAAAATATTTTAAGCATTCCCTCTGTCGTCCCAGTCTTTAAAAACTCTGAAAACCCTTCTTACTTATCTAACTATCGTCCAATCAGTCTCCTACCACTCTTCGGCAAAGTTTTCGGAGCTTTAATCAATGCCAAAACAATTAAGCATCTCATCCCCCATGATCTGCTGTTAAATGTAGAATCCAAGACAAAATCCAAAAATACTTATTACCATATTTTATGGTGCCACGGATCTTGTCTCAGCAACGCGATAATAAACAGCAGCAAAGATTGGATGACTCAGCTGCCTTTGGTCTGAAAACGTAATCTGATACAGCCGTGCAGCCTCGCGTCCATTACCATTCACGCGGTCATATGTAAAATTCACACCTGCTTGCTCACGATATGAATATCCTGCCATTGTTAAACGAAAGACTTCTCAGTTAACTTACTACTACATACGTTAATATGTCTACATGGCAACACAGCGCCATCTACCGTAAACTTTCTTTAAACTTAAAAACGAAGGATTTGTCGACATATTTTTATACGGAGTTTTCACCTTGTTTAGTGCCAAGAACTCGTCCCAAAGTTTACAAAAGCATTTTGATACACTATATATATATATATATATATATATATATATATATATATATATATATATATATATATATATATAAATTCAAGAAAGAAATTCGGATTACCAACACACAAACAGAGAATGTCTCATATCGAGAATATTTAACATTGAACATAAGAAAAAATTAATTATTTTTAATAATATGTGAAAATCTCCGCTTTTACCTGAAGACGGTCGCGAGACCAGAAACACGTGTCGTACAATTATGTAAAACAAAGCATAATATTTTTTTTCTAAATAAATCCACATTACAACCAAAAACGTTTGCGGTACCTCTCTTCTCTTCTTTTAATATACATACTTTTCTCTCGTTGGAACCACTACAACATATTTCTTTTTTGTATATATATATATATATATATATATATATATATATATATATATATATATATAAAGGTAACAGACAATAGAAAAACTGTATTATTAGTTAAGTTGTTTTTTTTTTTTTGTGAGGTCTCTTTTGTGCTGGTTGGTTTCAGTTTATATCTGTGTGTATGTTTTTGTTTTTCCATGTCGACAAATATGAAAAATTTATCAAAAAACATTTTGTCAACATGGAAAACAAAACATACACACAGATATAAACTGAAACCAACCAGCACAAAAAAGACCCTCACAAAAAACAACTTAACTAATAATACAGTTTTCTTTATACATATTGTCTTTTTTCTACAGGTTAACTCTGAGAAATTTTTCATATATATATATATATATATATATATATATATATATATATATAGTCAGCATATCGTCATTCAAATATGTTTCATTGAATGAACATATATCTATTTTGATAACGCTCCTTTCCAGTTCTCTAATCACTTTCTTGAGGTTAAGAAGTAATTCATCAAGGTAGGATGATCTTGGAGAAGATCGAAAGTACTTGGGTAGGAAAAAACTACGGCACCTTCCTTGATAAATTTCATCTTAACACCGAGAAACTGATTGTAAAAAATCATTGTAAAAATAAATAGACCTAATATGTCTATAACATTCAATGAAAACATATGTATATATATATAATGTTGTAAAGGAATATCCCACACTCCCTATCTCATATGTAGACTGACTATATCAGTAGATATATATAGTAAGCACAGGATATACCAGGGACTTGCTTCGGTGGTTAGTTGGAGATTCGTCTCCAGCTAAGCTAGTCGAACTCTCTGCCTTCGGGCGGAGAGGAACCCAGACGGGGCTATGCCGAAGAGCAGAACCTCCTCTGGTGTGGTAGACAGCTACCCGACTCTGTTTTTACGGGGTATACAGGGAATTTTTGCCCGAGACCACGAGCTCGGTTTTGCCCTGCATTAATAAACGGCCTTGTGCCACATCCTGCCTCGCGGGGATTAAGGTAAATATCCTTGCTTCGGGAGTTACTAGCCTGCTAACCGATTCTGTCTTTCAGTAGTGTATTCTCTTTTACAATAAACCTCTCTTTCTTTCATCTACGCCCGTGTTGCTGTTCCTTTCACTCGAGTACCACCTTTGTCTGTTTGTAACTTCTTAAGGATACAACAATATATATATATATATATATATATATATATATATATATATATATATATATATATATATATTATTTTTTAAAAGATATGATTCCTTCGCTACATAAGAGTTGTTTCATTGGCTTGTTACTTCAATTCAATTTAATTTTAATAATTATATTGATGGTTTCGGCTCTCGTTTCTGAAACATGAGAACTCTTATGTAGCGAAAGAATCATATTTTTAAAAAAATAATTTTAATCTAAACTCTACTTCTGTATGGAGAACTGTTTTTTAAAAGCAAAAACAAAAATACTAAAGAACCCTGGATTATTTACCTAACGTGTTCTTTCCTATTTTTCTACATACCTGCACTCACACACACACACACACACACACACACACATATATATATATATATATATATATATATATATATATATATATATATATATGCGGACCCCAAAGATACATACACAATTGAATAAAACTGAACTGGACATCACTTTCCTTTCTATTTGGCAACAAGAACCAAGTAACAGGAAAAGAGTATATATGTAGCCTTTTAAGTCATTTTCATGACTGTGTACTTAAACTAAAAATATTTTTCTCATAAATTTAATATTTTAAATGGAGAGACAATTTAAATTTGTAATTTAAACATTTTGCCGTCAGCGAAACGAAAGGTACCAAACTAACAACAAAACTGTTTAATTTCCTTTTTAGAGTTGATGCGGACCTTAAAAATGTCGTTTACTGTGTGGGTATCCGTAAAGGAGGAGAAGAAGAATGGGAGTTTGCCTACCGTAAATATAAAGAATCAAATGTGGCTTCAGAAAAGTCTTTATTACTGGAAGCTCTAACCTGCACTCAAAAGCCATGGCTGCTCAGCAAGTAAGTGACTCATAAATCCTTACAGACACACCTTGACACAAATTTGTGAAAGAAAAGAAACATACACACAAAGACAGTCGATAAATTTATTGTACATTTAGTTAGGATTGCAGATATTTTGTATTTTGTTAAAGTAAAACAAATGAGAGTCTGTTTTTTGCTTTTATATCCTTTTGAAACAATATATGTATAGCAAACAGTTTACAAACAATTAACAAACAAAGCGGAAGTGAGAAAACAACAAATGGAGATAAAATATGGCTGATATAAGTGAAAGAATTTGTTATGGCTCAGAATGTTGATATTTCATCATTCTAAAAATAAGCTTGTTATCATTGATGATAGAAAAGAAGGATATTTCATCGTCCAAACCTTCATCATTATACAAATTACCATTCCAACACAATAGAGTAGACTAGTGTTGACTAAGGTACCAATAGTAGTAGCGTAGTGGTAGTAATACAGTAACACACGTCTGCTAGCACGCCAGAGATCGAAAACAGACCATTTCAAACGTTTTCTCACAAACGAAATTCTCGGAACCAAACCAAGTAAGCACTAACTTTTAGACAAAAGACATACTGAGATCATTTTTACACACACCCTGCCAATATTGTGTGATTCGCATAACAAAAAGAAAAGACAAATTATTCCTATTTATGCCAACACGTGTCTCAAGTTTTTATTGTTTATGTTATTGTTGTACGTTTTAATTCATTTCGTTTTCAATATAAAAAAAGAACAAGAGGATTTTACACTACAAATACATATATACAAATTTTACATTACAAATACATTTATACAAATTTTTATTTTTCTGCGATTTACAATTGTTTGCTCGTTCCGGGGTATCGTATATCACGTAGAAGAAATCAATACGCATGCAGTCGAGTGAGATTGACTCGTGAGAGAACATTCCACGAATTATCGCATTGTAGTAGTCGAAAGTTAATTTCTACCGTTGCTGGTTCCGTCGCTGACAGAAGACATTGCTATTGATGGAAGCATCTTGGAGTCACTGCTGATGGCCCGGTTAAGCTTGCCTGCCGTGAAGGTCCGTCAATAATACCAACCGAGTCGGATCCGCCATCATGGGTGAAATCAGCGTTGGCTTTATAACGAGGCAGTGACTCAGAAACGGCTGCTACGAAAACCATTTGATTGGTCAGAAAATGTTTTATGACCCTGGTATTTGGGGAGGTATACTGGAAGTGAATGCGTGGGGGGTATGAAAATAAGGTCAGTTTTTGTCATATGAGCTGTGAATGTCGAAGGGAGCATTTCTGTTTGAGTTAAATAATTGGAGTCCCGACAGGGTACAACAAGTTAATTTATAATTTTCATTCTAGTTTCTTTGAAAACTTTCCAAGCGATACCTTAACTATTTCATGTCGCTTTAACATTCCAGTTCTCTTCGTTGTCACTTAATCTCAAAGTACAAGAGGAAGAATAAAACTCTTTCCATACAGACGACTAGTAAGGATTGTTTTGACAGATATTACTTCACAAGCCATTTGAAATTGTGATCTTATACTAGATTCTTAGATAAAGAAATTGAAGCAAAAGTTGCATCAAACGAAGAGAACTTGTTCCCCTGAAAATCTCTTCTAAACATTAGTAGTCCATCAAGTACAAGATTTTAAAAAAATACATCTGGTTTGAAAGTGCAACTTTCTTTTGCCGTGAGTTGTTAAAAGTTCCTACCCGATGTCCATTGTGTGTGATGGCGTGGGAAACGCCAAATCTAGGGAGTGTTAACAGCATTATTACCAGTAATATGCAGGATGTAAATAACAATGATTTCAAGTGGCCCACCTAATAGATGTCACCCTTGATAGACCTCTGATAAAAGGCACATGTACTTACAGTGTAAGTACATTACATACACACTAAATATGCACACACACACACAAACATACATACATACATACATATATATATATATATATATATATATATATATATATATATAATTGGGTTTAGCCATTTTAAATTTCTGCATGTTTCGTTAAAGACGAACTAAAGTACTTTATTTAAGATTATATAATTTCTTTTTTCTACGATTCGGGTCATTTTCCTGCTTTCCAGGGAGAATTTGAATATAAGTTGTCCAATGCCTTTTGAACGCTTTCGGCTTTCATAAGAAGTCCATTACCAAATATTGTTTGTGGGTTGATACGATTCTGTATATAGGTATGTGGTGTAATGGAATGTACCACACTCCCTATCGCCTATGTGGACTGACTATATCAGTAGCAATATATATAGTGAGCACAAGATATATCTGGGGGCATGCTTCGGCAATTCGTTGAACATTCGTCTCCAGCTGTACTGGTCGAACTCTCTGGCAGAGAGGAACCCAGACGGGGTTATGCCGAAAGGCAAAGTCTCCTCTGGGGTTATAGACAGCTACCCGACCTCGTGTATACGGGATCCACGGGGAATTTTTGCCCGAGCCTACGGGCTCGGTTTTTCCCCGCATTAAGAGACGGTCTTGTGCCACATCCTGCCTCGCGGGGAGGTAAGGTAAATAACCTTGTTTCGGGAATTACTAGCCTGCCACCCGATTCCCTGTCTTTCAGTAATAGATTCTCTTTTACAATAAACCACTCTTCTTTCATCTACGTGCGTGTTGTTCTTCCTTCACCCGACTACCACATTTGTCTGTTTGTAACCTCTTTAAGGATACAACAATATGGATTGTGTTTCTTCGGTTGTTCTTAACAGTCCTGACTTCCTGAATGTAATGGAGTATCGCGTCTTCATGCGTCAGTTTGTTGTATCGTGTTATTTTTACTTTTACTTTTAACCGTGAAATATATGTAATATATAATGCATACCTATAGACACGAGCTTATCAACCCACAGAAAATATCAACTGCTACCTGTTGTCTTCTAAGTCGTGTAGGTTGACTCTTTCCATGAAGAACACAATCTTTAACTCAGCCATCAGGTCACTCCACTGTAGCTCTACAATCATCATTAAAATGACCGTTCAGAAATCAGCTTTCATGTTTCATTTTTTTTCTCTCATCTTTCTCTTTTCTCTTTCTTTAGAATGTCTACTGAACAATAGTAATTTTGTTGTTTACATACCTTTGACCAAAATATCCCGCATTTTTCTATTTACATTCACAAAAACAAATTAAAATATTTTTGTTTTAGTCATTCCAATTTACTTATCTATTATCCTGTTTTTTTGTCCAAAAAATTTGCTTTTGTAAACATTTGTAAAGCCACTTTTTTGTTCTTGCCATTGTTAGATCAGACGACACCAAAAAAAAGAAATTGAATTTCTTTTTTGAGCGTCTCCTCTGATCTCTTCTCAACTTTTGCGCAATTTCTATTGTTGCGCTTTCCTCAGTAACTTTACAATAATTTACTTTCCTTCTGAATTTATATCTTTCTTACAACACACGGCAATTTTTGTGCATCTGAAATTAACCGATAAATATCAATAAGTAAACTATAAATTTTCAATATGGTGAACAAAGCTCGATTTCTATAATAAAATCTCACATTGTAAATATTTCTAATAAAATTAGCTGAAGTTCACGTGTTATATATTAACATAAATATATCCCAGAAATTTTTACCAACATCAGCTACTTAATACCAACTTTGTGAAAATATTGGCTTATATCATAAAATTTGACACAGCCTTTCTCCCTCTCTCTCATTCACGTCCTCTCTCTTTCTCGCACTCTCCTCCTCATATAGTTTCCAGAGAGAACTAAAAAAAAAGTCGATGACGTGAGAATTGTCAGTTGCAAGACGATTAACCAATCTGATTACAGACACAGTAGTCGTGATAATACGCAAAGTCAACTTTGTTTCTCTTTTGTTCATTTCGCTATATACACACTCACAGACACTCACAGACACTCACAGACACACGTTTGCTCATATGCGTGCCTGTGTGTCGTATGCGGAACATAACTATATGCGCTTCCTCTTCCTTCCTTTACTTTCAGATTCCTTGATTTGACACTGGACCCGAATGAAATCCGGCAGCAAGACGCCAGAATTGTGATTATGTCCATTTCCAATAATGCTGTCGGTTATCGACTTGCTTGGGATTTCATTCGCTCGCGTTGGGATGAATTGTCCACAAAGTAAGTTTAATATTCTCTGCATTTATTCACAACGATGATCGTTTTATTTAAAAACAAATACCAAATAAATTAAGCTGTAGCGTAACAAATTTAATTATCTGCCCTTTGACTCAGCTATAATTTATGCTCGTTTCAAAGATTTAGAAATTTGTCACATGTAAGCTGCCTTGCTAGTTAGTACTAATCCTCCGAAACGACTACTCTTAAACAGATCTTCTTTTGCCGTTCATGGCCTAGACACATTGATTCAATGTAAGACCAACTGCCTTAATTGCCTTTTATTTTCTGTCTTCTCATATGTATTCAGTTCACTGCATAAATAAACTATTACCTAATTTTAGTTTCTGAAGATATATAGTTAAATCATTTTCTCGCATGTTCTTGCATTCATTTACCTACTTACTATACCGCGGGCATAGCAATGCTATATTGTTATGTTAAACCATTCCAATAAGACCATTAACAAAATTAATCAAAGTCCGAATACTGTGATGGTAGCTGCAAGTTTTGTGATAAAACTGTATATTACACAATTAGCCATCTAAATTAGTGTATTATTTTATGCTTCATAATAATATTTACTTGATTCTAATATATTTACCAACTATATTTCGACTATTATCAAAGAACTGCAATGTCAAAGCGGTCTTACTCTACGGTTCAGAAATGTGAAACAGAGACAGAGCTCTGCAGTCAAAAATGAGATATTTTTCCACTGAAATATGGTTTCAACATCTGTTGACGAGATGATCACAGATGAGAAATTGTGATGAGAAGCAGAGGGCAAGATTCCATAACAAAGCAGATCTTTACGGAGGAAGAGGTGTTGGATTGAACACACTTTCAGGAAACCACATCCAGCATCCACCCGCCAAGACCTGAAGCCCACAGTGGAAAAGCAAGAGAGAGGACGGCTAAGTCATGATGTTGAGAAACAAAACAGACAGGTGAAGAAAAAGATAGACAGAAGAAAGCCAAGAATCGAGTTTGATAGAGGATTGATGTCGATGGACATTACTCATCTGGGAAAGAATAGGCATAATAATAATTATTATTATATAATAGAATAGTTTATATGCCGTAGATAAAGTAACAGTGACTCTTTACTTTTGCTGAAAACATTAAACGATGATATAATTTGGTCGTGTAATCATAGTGTTGTGTAGTTTGCATTAGTTACCTTTTTTACTTCAATCACAAGCATCTTTTCTTAACGTCTGATTTTCTCTCAGCCGATAGAGCAATTGTCAATGGCCTGTTCAATCAAATTTCTTACAAGCTAAGCATTTTTACAGATCAAATGCCTTGAGGAAGGCAATTCTTTTAATGCAATGTCTAATTCGTCTTTGTATAGTTCTCTCCTTGAAATTATCAAGAACTCTAATATAAAGAAAGAAAAGTATCTTCTTAATGGGAAACAGCAGATTATTGGAATGAATTATGGAGGTACGATGTATCTTACCATCCCAATATAGCATTATTATACTCGTCATATAGTAATATTTATGTATATAAGTACATTTATGTACAAAACAAGAATATGTGTATAATATTTGAGAGAAAGCACTTTAGTTATAGATTTACAGTAAATAGAATTAGACAATAATTTCTTCATGCAGTAAATTGAATACATATTAGAATATATAGAAAAGAAAAGGGAAGTCTTACTGATGAGTTAATTTGGTCGTACATTTTGTGAAGATTATGGCCACGGCCGTAACAGATGAGAGAAAATGGAGGTCTGGAGTAGACATGATATCGGTCTGATGAATTGGCATCAACTGGCGACGCAACTTACATTTCGCGCCTCTAGTTAAACTGTCACGTGACCCATTTCTTACTCTCTAACATGTGAATACATTATATCTGAGTTCAGTAAAGATAACGAAGTTTTGTAACGCTACAAGTACCATCCAAAGAACAAGTTTTCAAACATCTGTCACTTAAGATGAAATGTACGAAGAATATTATGTAACCCCGAACAAAACTACGCTCCTGAAAATGAAAACAAAAACACACAAAACACTGCACGAACCGAGTAAATAGTTAAAAAAAAGGCCCATTCGCAAGTAGTAAAAAAAAAGAAAAGTTCTTGATAAATTCAAGTTAGACAACAATAATATAAGAGAATTGTTCCTGATACATAAGAGAACTATTACTGATACATGTAACCGAAATGAAAAAAAAACATTGACACAACAGAAGTTTGGATCACTGAACATGAAAACAAGATCATGTCAGAATCATTTCAGTGCATACGGCACTAAAACAAAATAATTATTGATATGTATCCAAAAAGGCAGTCTTCAGCCTATAGTGGGTTATCAGTTATAGTGAAGTGTATGAGTGTTGAAATAGATTAGTCTGTTAGTTAGATAGCCCACCATAAGAGGTGTATAAGAAAATCAAATTGTAAAGTGAAACAGCAAATTTATATACATATAAATCAATTAAGGTCTTTACAAATAAAATTAATGTATTTTGGTTGATACAAAGTCGTTAAAATGTTCGTAGTAGTCTTTGCAAGAATGAGTTTATGTGTACATAGGCAGTAACGTATGTATGTATGTATGTATGTATGAGCGTTAACGTAGGGTAGGAATGTCTTTGAAGTAATCGCTCAGTCTTAAAATGTTCCGTTCGTTTATCAAGTATAAAAGAGGTGAGGGAGAAAGGTAGAGATAATAGGAACGATCGCTTGACGTTTGTCAAGGGACGTGTTAATGCGCTCGTCTCCCTCTCTCTGGTGACAGGCGAATTTGCTCATCTTATATTTTGTTTGTGGGGCTTGAAAAGGTCATTTGGGAATTCACTTCCGGATATGATTCGGGCCTTTCCATTGGACGACGAACAAACTTCGCGTCGTCTCGCGAAAAGGTCCGTAAAAGAATTTGTTTCTGAGAAGTGAAGATTAAAAAAGAGTCTAAAAGTTTTGGCATGTACATAGATTTTGAATTCAGTGCAGGGTGATTGTGTGCCAAATTCACTATCCTGGCTGTCAGGCAATCGATAAAGGAAGTTGAGTCCATGTCTTTTTTTGGGTTCTAGGGGAAAAATTCTCCAGGAATCTGAGTGTAAGTCCATACGCCATCTTGGCAGATGAACAGTGAACAATCGAAGAAAAAAACGAAAATTGAAACAAAAATTCAGTGTTTATATCTTAACTTTTTTCATTTCATTCATATATTTCCTTTATTATTCTTAAAAACAAGTCAAATATTAAGAAACTTCATTCTTAACTGAATGTTTTTGCTTAAGATCATCTTTATCTGATTTCCACCGAATGGTGCTACAGAAAGAAATAATCGCTCGAAAAAATTGTACAAATTTTTAAAAAGTTGGCAAAATAGTAACAGATCAATTAATAATTTTCTTGATATCTTGTCTCAAAATCTGATTTGATTTTTTTCTTATTTTCTAGGACGTCAGACAGACAATTTATGTCAAGTCTATTGATGGGAGTCACTTTGCATTTTAACCAAGAGTTTGAACTAGAACAGGTAAAGTAATTAACATGAAGTGAATTTTGTCATTTTTATTCTTTTTATTATAAGTTCAATTGTCATTAAATATCTACTATAACCTATTAAATATTATATTTAATATCTTACATTGTGTATGCGTGTGTGCACGCGCGCGAAATTATTTTCATAATTCAGTATTTCGGGAAATGACTAATTCAAATAATTTGTTCATCTTACAGTTAAGGATCTTTGTATTTGGAATTTTATATGTGTTTCTTTCTTTTTATGCGCCGTGCCCTTTCAGGACGTAGGCGATCATGACCCTCCACTTCTCCCTATCCCTTGTGGCTCTCAACAGGTTTTGTGTTTCTGCCAACCCCCCCAGACCATGATCTGTCATCCACCTGCCCAAGCCCGCCACGTATGTCATATGCTGCTTTCCCCTGTCTCTTTTCCCCTCTATTCGTCCTGTGAGTATCAGATTCTCCAGGCTCTCCTTTCTCATCACGTGTCTCAGAAATTTCATTTGCCTCTTCCTTATGTTAAGCATAAACTTCCTTCTTGTTTGAATCCTCTCCAAAACCTCATCGTTGTTCACATGCTCGATCCATGATATCCTCAGCATCCTTCTGTAGAACAACATCTCCGCCGCCTCGAGTCTCTTCTTCATCCTTGAGGATACCGTCCAACATTCGCTGTCGTATAAGAGGTCAGATGTCACGTAGTAGCTCAGTATTCTTTTCTTTGTCACCATAGAAATCCTCCTGTTTCGCAGTACTCTGCTCATCTTCTAGCCATCCCAGTCCGTCTTCGGATCTCAGCGTCGCACCTACCATCCTCCGTCAGAACTTAAACTTCCGCACATGTTTGATTTTAGCGTCTCCGGCCTGCAAATCGCATTTTGGGCTCATCCTTTTATTGATGACCAATTATTCTGGCTTCTTGTAGTTTATGCTTAGTCCTTTCTTCTTGCGCTCCCTCGTTACCTTCTGTAGGAGGTTTTGTAGTTTCTTTTCCGTGTCTGCTATCAGTAACGTGTCATCTGCATATCTTATGTTGGTAAGGTTGTGGCCGACAATGATGAATCCTGGTAATATCTCCAGTTCCCTCAGAACTGTATAGGTTGAATAAGTTGCCTCACTGTATAGGTTGAATAAGTCCGGTGAGAAGACGCATCCTTGCCTTACGCCTCTTTCTATTTTTGTATATTCGCTGAGCTCATTCTCGATGCGAATGCATGCCATTTGCTGCCAGTATAGGTTCTTGGCTATTCTGATATCTTTCCCGAATATATCAAGGTTGCTGAGCAGTTCTAGCAGGTCCTTGTGGCGTACTTTGTCGAATGCCTTTGCGTAGTCTAGAAAACATAGGTACACGTCCTTCTGCATCTGTATTGCTTTTTCCGATAATATTCTAGGCATGAATATCGCGTTCCTTGTTCGTTCCGGTGTCTTTGACGAACCCGCACTCTTCTTGTCTTATCTCTGGCCCGATTCTGCTAAGTGCTCTATTCATCAGAATACAGATGAGGAATTTTGTGACGTGGCTCATTAGGCTGATTGTTCGGTGGAGCTCGCATTCGTTTGAATCTGGTTTCTTAGGTAGTGCTATGAAAATAGATCTGCTGAGATCCTCCGGTACGTCCCCACTGTTGTAGATTTCATTTATTATTTCTGTGATCTTGTCTATGTCAAATTCATCTAAGACTGTCAGCATTTCCGTTACGATTCCGTCTGGCCCTGCTGCCTTGTTTCTGTTCAATTTGGCCAGTGCAGCTTCTACTTCGGTTTTTCAGGTTCGTCGGTAGTTCTGTGTATTGTTTGTTGTTCTCTTTCGTCATGGACGAATTCGCCAATATACTCGCCCCAGCGTTGAAGAATTCTTTCCTTCTCTAATATGAGTTTTCCATCCTTTGATTTTAAGCAGGCTGTTGGCGAGCATGTCTTCTTTCCTGTTTGAAAAATCAAATAGAACCAACTATTAATCCCATTAAATAAAGTTAAGTGCCAAATATAGGTATACGAGATGGCTTCGCTCTGACTTATAGAAATTAATCCAATTGAATAGTATATATATATATATATATATATATATATATATATATATCAAGTATGTGGTGCAGTTCAATTTATATCACATGAATCATTCATACAAAAAACAGATATAGATTTATATCATTAACTTCTATATCTGTTTTTTGCATGAATAAATTCATGTATATATATATATATATATATATATATATATATATATATATATATATATCTTAATAAAGAGATAGTGCTACTGTAGCTGTGACAGCCATGGAATACGGGCAGGGTTTTAACATTCTTTGACTGCAGAATGATTTGGGGAGCTATAAAAATGAAGTACTTTATTTTGGAGTAGTAATTGCTCTTGGGTAACAAAAGTAGACCAAAAATATATGAATTTTGGACAGACAATCAGTGCCTACTGGTATTACAAGAACAGTGCCACCAGCGACTGACAACGATAGTAACCACTCAGCAATATTCAATCAGGTCCCGCTTAACCAGTCAGTCAACGCAGTGGCGTAACTAGAGTAAACGTCATCCGGGGCGATCCGCTCAAATGCCACCCCAATGACCCCGATTCACCCTATGCTGAATGGTTAGCTGTAGCTAAATTTTCATATATGCTCTACCTCTACTTTACTCTACTGACCGTTACGTTACTGTTTACATATATGATCAAAGACAAAATCCAATGCCACAAAATAATCAGTTCAAATCAAAAGCTGAAAACATTGATATTTTTCCTACTCACAAATTTCCCGACAATTTATTAAAAAGTTTCTGACGGGGGGAGGGACAAAACTCAAAACTGGGGGGGGGTCATAAATTATTTCTGGGGGGTCATATGCCTGCCTGCGAAACCCTGTGTCTCCACCACTGTTTTCAGACTATTTTTGGCACCTTCACCTGGTTGAAAAATTTTGTTGGGGGTGACATTGTGTCACCCCTCCTGTGCTGGCATCCGGTGCGTTCCGCCCCCACGCCCCTCCTTAGGTACGCCACTGACTAAACGCACTGTACATTACATTTCATGGAGTTTTGTAGCCGTCAACCAACGACGTTACAATTATTGATAACACGGCATCGATTACTGTTTCATCTGAAATGATGTGCATTGTCATTACGCTGTTAAAAAAATTGTCGCGTGTGTGTATATGTGTATCTGAAAGAGGGAAACAGCATGAGGTTTTGAATTCAGCCTGTCAACAGGGTATTGTGCAAGCTGGTGTTAGCTCTGTAATAGTGGGAGATATGTTCATTTGGAGGTTTACAAGATTCCTAGTAAAACTGGAATCTGTAGATTTTGTAGCAGATCATTTACATATCTTTATGTCGGCCATATTTCCTTGTGCTCAACAAGCGTTCCAACAAGATAAAGCACACCTCGCTAATATACGTGAGCAACACTAAATTGGTTCCAGAGACACTCAATTCGTTCCAGGTACTTCCTTGTTCCCCTTGCTCACCAGTTTTAAACTCCATTGACCAAGTATAGGACGTATTATAGAACTCTATAAATTCATTTCAGCCTCACACACAGGCACTACTATGAACAGATTGAAATATGCCCACCCACGCAACGACTCCAGCACATTGCAGACTCCGTGCCATAATCACTGTTATTCAGACTCTACACGTTGTTAGGTAGTTTTTAAAACTTCAGTTATTATTAAATATCAATATCAAATATTGTATTTAATTGTATTATCAGAATCAAATATTGTATTTAATTTTTTACTGTGTAAGTGTCTGTGCTAGTGTGTTGGTATCAAGTTGTGCTTGACGTCAAGTCATTTTAAAGAATATGCAGACAAAAACAACTTGAACAAATTATATTCTCACGGTTTAATCAAAGACCTTGGAGAATTTTTTTTCCAGTGAATGATTTTCTGGATTTAAGGCTGCATCTTCTTATGTTAGTGAGGCATAAATCACACCATAAATCACACAAAAAGGAGAACTGATTTCAAATAAAAATTCAATGTTAGGTGTAGTTCAATATTAATGAAGAAATGGCATAACTACATTTCTGACATGACGATTTACGTGCAGTAACCGTTGTAATGATACGAGGCATGATTAATACTGTTTTCCTTCCTACCGAGGAAAACAGTATTAATCTTTATCTTTGTATTTACAACATTAATATTATCATTATTTTGTTGATCAACAACTCATTCCAAAGCATTTGCTTATTTATTCTGTGGCGTAACAAACTTTTCTGAAAAGGATTTTATTGTGTTACATTTTTTTTTTACAATACGATTAACTGGCTACATTTTTTCTATTTTAATCTTTTGGTATTATTATTGTTGGACTCTTTCATACTCTACGACTAACCAGACTCTTAAACAGAAATGCTGTTGAGTAAAGTGTTGCAAGGGCTACTGCTGATTATTGCTGGCCTTGTTTTTACAACCGAATGAAAGTGTCTACTGCTAAAAGAAGGAAAAACGTTCCTTCACATGCATAAAACGAAGAATAAAACATCATCGAACAAATTTGAATGAAATTTAATAACAACAATGAAAAGTAAAGGATTTCTTACGGGGATTAGAGAGAGTTCGTAAAAAGTCTAGAGAAATAAATTTCGGGAAAACAAATGCCTATTTATGTACGGATGCGTGAGTGTGAGATATGTTCATTTGCAGGTTTACAAAACTCTTAGTTCAACTGTAATCTGTAGGTTTTGCAGACAAAGATATGCATCTATGTATGGATGCGTGTGTGCGTAATATATGTACGTGTGAAGATGTGAATGCGTATAAGAAGTTTCTTTTTCTGCGGCCGATCTAGTTGAGAGTTTAGGCAAGTATTTTACATCGATCTCTCAGTATGGTGTGATTGCCCAAATGAGGCGGCTTTCTTTGGCATAATGTGAGTAATTGAATGCACTGTGTGATCCTGTGTGCTTATTGTGAATACTGTTGCATGTACCCCTGTCTGTGTTTTTTCTGAGTACTTTTCGAGTAGCTTTTAGTGCATTATAGTCTGTAGATAGCCAATATTTAATATTTTTCATTCTTTTCCCCATTGAATGACAAATGTAATGTGATATGCTTACTGCCACGTCTGCATAAGTTGACACTACGTCTGCTTTTATGTGTCTATTTTTAGACTTGGTGAAATTGTAGTTGTAAACGAAGTTTGACAATATACTTTTTTTTATTGTTCTAACAATCTAAAACTAAAACCTTAATACACACAAATAAGGTAATATGGCATTTTGTTTGTTTTCCTAATATCAGAATAATCCTGATTTCATGCAAACTATTGTGTCTTTGACAGGTTAAATACTGGAGAAGCCAAGACAAGGAGGCAAGCAAGTATGAACGAGTCTACCATTCTTGCATTTCAAACATAAAGAACAACATCAAATGGATGAAGGAAAACTATCAAATCGTTGCCGATTGGTTGGATAGACAAAATGTATAACGAGACACACCACTGGTTCATTAGTCAAAACAACAAATCCTGGCATGTTGAGACCCCAAATCAACATATCATTCCTCTTACTCATTTTCTCTCTCTCTCTCTCCCTCTCTCTCTCTCTCGCATCAATCAAATATTTTAAACAGTTACTATGTATTTCTTCTCTACTACATATTTCTAAACACCATGAACTATACAGATGTTGGTTATAATTGTCACTGCATTCCAAACTTACCATTTTCTTCAATGTCTCCAAATCTGAAGACAAGTTCTTCTATTCAAAAGATTCACTTTATTTTTCTTTTTTGGCATTAATTAACCATCTTTTCATGGAATGGGGTTTAAAGCCAGAGCAAAAATGAAACAAA